CCGAATTGCTGCAATTCCGTGACGTAAAGCCGTATCTTTCAACAAAGATAATGGACCGAGCGCAATTAACGTTTATGAGTTTACGCAGTCAGTGTGATAATGTTTGGGTACACAAATTGTCGAACCGTCAGATCTTCTCTTGAGCGTTCGCACAAGCAAAACTAAAAGATTATACTTAAATCCTTTGTGTTTTCTTGAATAGTTTACTTGAAGCGGAAAAAAAGTATTATGCGCGTATTCGCGGGGATTAGTTAATCACACACGGTTTTCATCGAACTGCTACTTTGCCGATGGCAAATAGCGACGTTCGTTCATCGTTCAAACCGCCGCGTTCGTCGTTCATACACGTGCAAAGTTCTACAAACATACCTTTCTCCATGCCGTCTCTTCTCGCAAGACAAACTCAAACAAGTATGAGGCGGCGATGTTATACAAGCAATTTCACCCTCTTCTGCTCCAGGCGACGCTAATCGCTCCTGCACATGTTTGCATATCACCTTGCCCTTGACACTGTCGTTAGAGCCAGTGCGAACGAGCTTCCAGGAGCGCCACTTGTCCTAATTTTCCCGCCCGATCCTAATTATACGACGTCCAGCGAATATAAAGGAAGTAGGACAGAAGAGCGTTCACAACTTCGTTTCGAAGTTGAACGCCTTTAACCTTTAACATTCTGGAACCCGTTCGAACGTACGCGCATATACATCGGAGAGTCAATAAGTCCCGCGTTCCGTTTTGGAACCGGATGCTTCGAGTATTGAGCGTTGAATATGCGCCGCTTGTTTATTTTTAAAATAAATAAATAGCACGATATCTATCCGATTCTGCGTCATGTGTCGCGTATTTCTTGCACAAAATTTTCTAAATAAATCAATCGCATCGGCGATTATTTATTTATGTAAGCTAATGTATCTTTTTTTAGTAATAAAATATCTCGAAATCAATAATCCAAATTTACCGATAATTGCATGATGATTTCAGCTCTCGTGTTTTCGTTAACATAATTTGTTTTATTTATTACAATATTAGCGAATAAAATTTACACACAGTTTCGGTATAACGTTATCTAATTGATCTTAAAATTGCGTTTATTATTGTCGTTATTGTATTAAACTTCGGTTTATCGAAACACACACTCGCATGAAAACTGCGCGTGTGATTTTCTCTCTTGGATAGAATATATCTATGCATTTTACTCGAAAATCAGCAAATATTTACTGATTCAGATAGTTATATAAAAATAAATCTTTCACTGAGAATCGATCAGACGAAATCAATCACTCAAATTGTTATTGATTCTATTTAAGAGAGTGTATATATTGTTGTCGCACATTAATTTATTCGTCGAGAGGATTTCCATATACGTCCGAGCAACGTGATGTGTCATTTCGAGAGGAAAGGGAGAACGATAAACTCGACAAAACGACAAGGCTCTCGCCGAAGAAAGAATCGAAGGACGTAATACACCGCGAACGATTCTCCAATCCTTCTGTTTTTTCATTCAGAAAGTGAAGCATTTGTTTGTTCCTCTAACGCTCTCATTTTTTCCTGCCAGCTTCTCTCACACCGGTTATTTCCATTCTCATTTGTCTTATCATCCTTCTGCCACAACAGCGCGCGAAAAGCAATCAATTTATCACGAGCACGCGTATATTTATGCGTAAGTGTGATATGCGTGAGCACATGTATATATATATATATATATATATATGTATATCGATATATATATGAGAGAGAAAATCTCACGGGAGAAAGAGAGAAAATAGCGAAGGCCACGTATTATACACTGAATATGCGAATCATTTTTCCATTTTAGATATTCCTTTTCAACGGCGGCGTCGACGACGTATTGCTGTTCGCTCTCTCGTCATTACACACAAGATTCGAAGCGTGCGCGTCGAATATCAGCCGTCTTCGGATAGCAATATTTCATCAGATCGAACGCACTTGTGACAATGATATGCAAATTTATATTTTCGCTTTGCTGTACACGTAGCGCGCAAAATTTCAATTCAATTTGTTTGTTCTACTACAAAAGCACGTATATATTTTGTTCGATGTTTGCTCAAAAGAATTGGCAATTCTTTCCGCGTTGCGATAAGAATTCCTCGGATCGCTTCCCCCAACATTCGGCACGAGCGCGTGATCCAATAACGATGTCGTCGGGTGCGTTTTTCTATCCGCGTCGTTCTCTCAAAACTGCGCGACGTCGTGCGCGACAGGTATCTCCTCTGGGAACTCCGGTTGGTTTTCCCACTTTTTTCGACGAGATTCCAACTTTCAGACCGCATTGTCTGGACTGCGTGTGCGGAGGGGTCCCCGGCTCGCGTCAACCTTACTATTCATATTTTCATGAATTTTCATTCGACCGCTCGCGGGATTGCTCGTTACTTTGTGTGTGTATTTGTATTAGCGTGCGCGCGACGCAACGATGGAGAGAGACTACTGGTTTGGAATTCTTGCAAAATCACAATCAACCGAGTTTTGTTTTTTTTTTTTTTTTTTTTTTTTTTTTTTTTTTTTTTTGCTCCAATGGATCGTCAAAATGGAAATGCGCGCAAACGGCGGAAAGCGCGAATAATCTTGATTCGTTGAAAATGACATCGGATTACTCGCCTCGTCGCGTTCTCCGGCTTCAATCTCACGTCGAAACGAAAAGAATTCTTTTAAAGCAGTGAGAAATATGGCACGCTCTTCGAGCTTTGTCGCTTGTATATTAACCATGTGGAAGAACCTATTAGTGCGAATTATACAATGGTACTTTTTGTGAATTTTTTTACATAATTTTTTACACAGACTCTCCTTGCCGCAAAATTCAAAGGGAAAATAAATTCTCTTTTCCTTAACGAGGTGGTGTCTGATATGACTAAAAAATATTTCACGAACTTTCCAAGCGCACTTTCTCGACGCGAAAAGACTAAGATAAATCTGTGTTTTCGCGGTAGCACCTTACCATTCGACAAACAAGCTGCTTGCTCGGCGCAGCACATTGACTTTCGCGCTTTCATAAATTTGAATTCCCCGGCCCGAAGAAATTGCTCGTTACCTCATGCGTTTACGCCTCGTGGTTGTACACGTGGTGCACACTTTTGGAAATTTCTTTTCCTGTCGCGATAAGAAAAACACCAACTCGGAGATAGCAACCTGCCGTGTCAAGATATGCTCATCACAAAAAAATGAGAGACAACAAAAAACGAAACTTAAAATTGGTCAATCACACAAGTACAGCATTTATTTATCGCAAAACATCCTGCAAAAGGTTCATACAGCTCAATATTAATCACTTTTTGATAATTCCATCACGAACCCAAGGACTGTCTTCCATAGCTGACAATTTGAAACTTAAAATGTCTCTTAAGAAATTTAATTCACACTACGGTCGTTTAATTTCTGTCTTTGACGGGCGGCTTTAAATAATTAATACCCGACTGAAACAGATCTCTTGCAAGTTCTAAGTCATGGACTTCCGAACTTTTTTAATTTACGGCTCGAAGTTGATAATTTGATACACTTCGAAGTGTGTGATTTAATACGACTAATAGACGTGAAGAGCTGATAACCGATGTAACAATAAAATTCACTTCAAATTTAATCAATCAATTGTTTTTAAAATTTCTATGTAAATCAGCGTTAAAAAAACTAACGAACGTGAATTAAGCAAAATTATAAAGCAATTTGCTGCAGAGAGAAAAACAGAGAGAAAAAAGAGGAATAAAATACAATGCAACCTTTAAGTAGATTATTCTAAAGTGTATTAATAATTCGTAAGTTGAATAAAGACAATACATGACTAAATATCAAAATTAAAATTACTCTGAACTTAGATAGCGTTTAAAAGTTCCGAGAATATATTCTTCTTTAATTGTGAGCCCATTGTGAAACACAATTCAAAGGTTTCGGGTCACAGGCATAATAAAACAGTAGACGAAACTTCGACAAAAGTGCAAGAATTAACATTTTTGTTCGAAAATTTCACGCAATTCTGTTTCCTTTAAACTTTAATCAAATATTTCTGGTAGTTTACATTATAATAATAGCGTTTTACATCACGCATCCGTTTGATATAACTTATTTGCGCTTAATCGTTCGCGTTTAATCGCAGCTCGTAATACGCGCGCGATACGACGTAACGAGATGTTACACTAAGTAGCTCGCTACCAAGTTTCCTTAGCAGGCGCTGTCACGTACTACTATACCGTACTTTCTAATAGCAATTGCATTAGTGCGCGCGCGCGCACGCTGTGAAATGTGCTCGCGCGCGAGTTACGCGGCGAAATATAAATTTGAATATAGTTTAAGCCAGCGCGTCGCGTTTATGCGACCGCGTCGCGCGCGCGGCTTAAACAAAATTAAATTTTGTCGTACTCATATTTGCGCGGCCTGTGTGTACAAGCGCGGTTCTTAAAGCGAGATTGCGACGCAATTCTGTCCCGCACTTTAGACACACCCGGGTTAACTTCTTCTACTTCCTTCATCCGGATATCGCTTATGTTTTGCAACGGCTTTATAAAAGTGTTTCGCCGCGTAGCCTCCTCCTTGGCATCGAAATCAGATCTCCTCCTAGAAATAGAACGTCGCTCAGAATTGGAGGACTTTCCAGAACCGGGGAGGGTTTATTCCGTAGAACTTTATATACCGCACCCACTTGCGCGCGGATATCGGACATATCGTGCGGATGACAACAGAAAATCAATTGACCCACATAACCAGCAATTCGTTAAACGCCGGCCGATGGCAATACATCGTAAAGTGATAATGGAATGTATCCATTAATCCTATTTCCTGAAATACTCTTCCATTGTAGCGAGATTTAAAAGCGAGTGGAAGTAAATGTGATTTCCTCACGCAGAGATAACACAAAACCGCGATACACACACACACACGCACACATAATGAAATATCTTGAAGGAAACATCTACCAGAAAATCAGAGATATTGAAATATGAATATATTGCGAATCGATAGAATTATAAAAAGAAAAATGTCCCTCTTTTTTGTTTCAGTTGTCGGAAGACATCGGATATGTTCTTTACTCCGCTTTGGGTAGTTTTTACATCCCATCCATCATCATGGTCTTCGTGTACGTGCGCATATACTTCGCTGCCAAAGCCCGCGCGCGTCGTGGCATCCGGAAACAGCCACGTCCACGTGCGATGGTGCCGCCGGAATCGCCTGACGTCAGGCAGACCAGCTTCACTCAGAGCACGCCAGCGACGGACACCAAGAAGCCTCCGGGATCAGTCATGGAGAACGTCGCAACGATTGAGAATCAGCCTGTCCAGATACCAATTGTCACGTGCGACTTCGCCAGTGACGTCAGCACGTCAGAGGCTGATCCCGGCGGAGGCACGAGTATCCCAATGGAGGAGAAGGACACGCTCAAGGTAGAGATTTCTAACTGTTTGAACAGCGCTTCTGCGATCTCTCGAAACAAAGTTGGGGCTTAAAATAAAAGTATTGCAAGTTAAAGAGAGAGATAGAGGGAAAGGGAGAAAGAGAGTTGTGGAGTTGCTATAGTCGGGGAAATGTTAGACGAGAAATATTATTTGTTCTTCGAGTTCTGAATCTTCAGCACGTGTTCATACCACCGCTCGAAATCACGGTAAAAAGAATAAAATCCCTCTCTTGTTCTATTCAATTCGCACAATTATTATTGACAGTTAAATTAGAATTTACTCAGTTGTCCCTTTGTGTTTTCGCTCGTAATGCGAATTATGCAATTTTCGGCGAAAGTTCTCTTTTTCTTTTTATTAAATTCTCTTTCGTACAAACGTATACCGATATATCATTCATCGTTGCCATCAAAGATACATTTTATATCATCGAGATGTATCTTGTAAAAGACGTAAGAGCAGAACAGTAGTAAATCTTCGAGAATCAGACATTTCGAGCTGAAATACAGTTGGCGGAATCAAATTGAGGGAAAAATCTCAGACGTGGAATAGAACACAATGCCGCACCGTTATCAGTATCGCGGATCTTGATATCGCGATCAATCGATCATATACGAGCTTCTTTCGCCGTCCCGCGCTTGGATTACTACCTTTCATCGAGTCTCGTAAACTGTATTTCGATACCTTGATAAATTAAAGTCCGTATTGAGGATATTCTATCGACGACAATCATATTGCTTTACGTCAAATGTCGTAAAATTGATACGCGGCTCCGCCATCGATGAGAGGGATATTCTCTGTCGAGATGCGTCAGTCAATATTCATATAATGTGTGTGTTCACGTGTGTTCACAAATACATACACACACACACACACACACACACATACAAATGGATCTATAATTATATATCGAAGTCGCTAATGTGTCAGTCGCGCGTCACATTCTATTGATGTTTGATACAAAAAAAAAACTCGCGTTAACGGCAAACGAACGAGACGTTTTCTAAACGCGAAAGATACGAAAGATTTTCCCCTCAATTGTGACCGCGTCGAGCATTTTCTTATGCAAATGATTTGACGATGAATAAACAGCTTTGTTGGTAAATCACGTCGCAAGAATCGCGAAAAGCTCCATTCGTTCGTCAGGATTATGCAGCAGCATTGCGCGCGACGAGGAAAATTCGTACGCTTGAGATCTCGTTTGTAATTACGTACGAAAACACAGTTTTATGCCGGGGCAGGGAGACAATTGCATGGGGATGAGTTCCTCTCCCCCTCCTCCCATTTCGACTCTGTCGCGCAATTACGCGAGAGTTCTCGTTCAAACTTGAGCGCAAGAACGCCTTTGTTACCCCCAGGCTACGTGTAACAGTTGCATATCAAAGAGTCCTGAGACGATAATCCCGTTGTCTGTTCGTATGAAAATCATACGTCGCGCACACAAGAAGAAAGGCTTCGCTCGCGTCGTGTTTCCGAGATTCGAAGAACACGAAGCAATTTAGGTTTTTTACGTTTTCGAGAAAAAAATGTAACAAAGTAACAAAATGCGAAAATATTGCTGCGTGTATGTTAATTTTTCGCACAAAATTGTCTACTTCTCACTTCGAATTGATTTATCGCGCGATGTATTTTGTGCGGAACTTAAATACACGACGTGTCTCTGAGCTGTTTACAGATTAAGAAGTTTCAGTTTCATCGTGTCTCGCAAATTTACTGTGTATTTAAAATCTTATCTCTCAAAACTAACAAGTTTGTAATAATATACTGTGTATCTAGAGAGCAGAGATTGCTAAAGAACCCGCTCCCTTCGGCGAACTATTATAACATGCTCACGCAGCACTCTAGACTAGGGGTGCTGATATTGCGCGAATGTTATATATCGTGCACATGCATAAACCAGTGTAGCAAGTTCTTTTTTCGTGATTATCTACTTAGATTTAGCTTGCGATATAAAGTTCGACGCGCCAACTTTGGCTCACGGGCACAAGTAATTTTCTTCTTCGCACGAAATGTATTTCATTCCGTCTATCACATAGATTTTCGACTGTATGAGAAAATAATTTAACCTCCCGAATTTTGTCGGCAGGTGAGCGTGCCGGTGCCGGCGCAGAAGAGCAACTTGAAGGCGACGCTGTCGGTGAACGGGGACGGGCAGTCGGGCAATCAGAACGTGCCGGCGCGATGCCGGGCGCCCAGCGTCGGCATCGACGTCGACATGGTGTCCGAGTTCGACCCCTCGTCGTCAGACAGCGGCGTGGTGTCAAGATGCGCGGTGGTGAAGCCGCTCAAGCTGCGACTGTGTCAGCCGATCTTCGGTCGCAAGCACGTAAGTAAATCGAAACGGGATCACGGCGACGGGCACCGTCACGCAGCCAAGGACGATTCCGACTCGAAGACTAAACCGCGCGATCCCGAGAGAGAGAAGCGGAGACTGGCGAGGAAGAAGGAGAAGCGCGCGACTCTGATCCTGGGCTTTATCATGGGCAGCTTCATCGCCTGCTGGCTGCCCTTCTTCGTCCTCTACGTTGTTAAGCCGCTCTCGCCGCAGACGCCGATACCGCCGCAAGCGTTTGCGATCGCCTTCTGGCTCGGCTACATGAACTCCGCGCTGAATCCCTTCATCTACACGGTTTTCAATAAGGACTTCCGCCGCGCCTTTCGCCGAATACTGTTCAAATGAGCGATAAGGTATAGCGTCGATCAAGAAGGACGCTATTGATAATCACATTCTCCGTCCTCGGGTATGTATCGATATCTCGTATACCTCGAGGACGTTATTTCCCTCGATTACATCGCGCCGCGCGACTCGGTTTCCTCGGAGTCACTCCTGAGAGAAACTTATTCGACCCAGGAGAGAATTGTTTGGCGAGGAAAAATATGCGAAAGATGTAGTCAGAAGTGCGGTCGTGTATTTCGAGAACGAGAGACGCGTTTCTGATCGAACAAGTTTTCCGACTGATTTTTTTCGGAATGCGAAGAACCGAACATCGGAAGATGGAATCGCGCATGTAAAATAATCCTTTGACGAGGGCGCGTACACATCTCTTCTCGGGGTTCTCGTCGCTATCGGTCGCGGGAATCTCGTCTCTCTTCTCGATCGTCTCTCGAATCAATGTACAATCCCATCCCGAGAAAACGTTACAATCACTTGGAGAAATGTGAAACCTACAACACTCCGCAAGGGAAAGAGCTTTAAAATTGTCGAAAATACCCAAAGAAACCTTCCTCCGCATTGTTAAAACTAAGATAGAAGACTTCGAATCTCGAAACGGGATGTTCAGAACAGTCTCGGTGACCCGGATTCGCTAAATTATGCGCGTCGAGAGCTTCGGACCGAATCCCGCTCTACTTTTGCACACCTCGCACGAGACTTGTACGAAGGTGCGCACGCAAAAGATCAACGAACTTTGCGCATAAGGCTTCTTGACTGGCCGAGGGAACATAAATTTACCAAACGTATATTTTCTCGGGTTTACATCCTGCAAAGCGAGTCGCTACGTCGACCAAGAGGCAGCATATCGCTCCTTCCTCCATCTGCGCATATTTTTTTTACTGGGCCACTCTTCTTCCACGTAAAGAATAGCGAGGAAAAAAACAAACAAGAAAACGGTGAGATACGGACGCTTCCGGATGGAGGAGAGACACTTTATATATTTCCGTGCCTAATCTCTTGGTCGCGTCCACGAAAGGCATGACAATCCGCAGTTGCGTATCGCGACGCAACGCGCTTGCGTAGATGTACCTTGGGCATGTTACAAAGGAGAATTGGACGAGTTGCAAATTTCATTGCGCGTTATCTGAGCGCGACCGAGCCGGCGGAACCGCGCGGGATGCAATTTCAACAGCGTTCAATCGTATACAATACACACACACACACACACATACACACATACATACACGCAAATTCACTTTGTACGCGCGCGATAATGACGGCAAAAGATGGCGACGATCGAGAGAAAAGGGAGAGGATCATCAATGAACACCGATTTATTATATAACTGTGCGAACGTCAGCCAGCGTTAAAGATCGTTGGCAGATCTATTGACAAATAAAGAGAAAAAATGATGTAAGATACGTTTCCTACTAAAAATTAGAGAGGCCCGTGTTAAGGCCCTTTTAAACGTCCGCCGTTCCACTCTCGTGAGTCTTCGATGTTATTTTTAACAGAAGGATTGATACGCATGAATTGTGTAGAACTTTACAATTTTATTGGTCACGTACGTGCAGGGCGCAATGAATTTGTGTATGCGTACACGCATGTGTGTGCGCGCGTATAGTTCATTTTCGTAAAACGAAAGAGAAGAGAGAGACACGAAAATAACTTCCCATTTCACGAAGAGAATTCTTTCCTCACCACCGCAAAGCCTAACTCTGGTGCAGCAATAATTAATTTTCCATTTGTTGAAAACGCTCGGCCGAGAGAGATTTCGCGGGGAGGTAAATCGGCGCGAAACGATCAATTGTGTGTCCTCTCGACCGCACGTCCGTGCGCGCGGGCCCGAAATGTGTGTGCGCGCACGAACTCTGTCGATTGCGGGATGAATGATCACTTTGCGTCGCGGATTCCAAAATTGAACGCAAAGTTAGATAAAAATAGAGAAGAGAGAGAGAACCGCACGGTCGCTCATACATACATATGTATATATATATATATATATGTATAGTTCGATGTTTTGTGCGCGTCTCACTTTTGAAACTTTTATTTCACGTCGTTAACGAAGATTAGACGAGTACTCGTTTGATTTCAGAACTGCTAATGACGTTGTCGTTATCGTTGCCGTATTTTTACGTAAAAAGTTTTTTTTTGCAAAAGTAGCCGAGCGACGATACATTAACGACAGCGATATCGTCGCTAGCAGTTAAAGGACTCGTTTGACTGAGCTTCTGTTTGCTCGCGCCGCGCTGTATATCTTCGTTGTAACGGCGCGTAAAATTGTCGCGCAGCAAATGGGGGATTATCGAGAACGATCGGGTAATTCCCGAAAGGAGTGTGGGCTTGGCAATAAAATCCAATTAGTGAGCTCGGCTCCTAAGATAGAAATATTATTTCCGTAAGACGGAAATCCTTTGTGTCTGCCGGCAAACAGATGCTCCTGCGTCAGTAACGATTGAGCGCTTCTCTCGATGCCATACACGTGAAAAAGGGAAGGGATGTCGCCGGGATATAGAAAGAGGAGAGAGAACGATCTCGCGCACCTGCGCTCGCTTTTCTGCGGCAACAACCGGGAAACAATATTCCTCATTTTCGTTCCATCAAGCCGAGACTCTCGGCGGTGCGAATTCTCATAGAGAAATTGCGCGACACGAGATTTTTCTATTCTCCTAAAGTAGCGGTGACAGCGCATGTCTCTCTCGTCTCTCTTTCTTTTTTTCTCTTTCTCTCTCTCTCTCTCTCCCACGTAGTTTCTATTGGGAGAGAAAAAGAGAGAGAGAAAAAGAAGGGAAGATCTAAAGAGACTAATCAGTAAGCTTCAACACCATAAATCCTGCGAGCCCAATATACAGGCGTGTACATTAGTGGAAAATGTACGCGCTCACGCACGTACGTGACGCGCAATATACTACAACGATAAATCGATAAACACATTTCGCGCGTCTGGTTCCGTGTCGTTTAAGAGAGTGTGTGTGCCTACTTGCGTGCGTGCGAGCGATCGTGTGCTCTTCGCGTCTCGCTCTTCATCGTCCCCTTTCTCGTTTGCCGCCGAACTTTCCAAAGTCTTTTCCCCCCCGAGACCTTTCTCTTAAATGTTCCTCTCGCAGCCAGCATTTAACATTAACATCCTCCGTGAAGTCGGCGAAGCCGTTCTGAGTCGTCTCTAATGCGCGTCTATTTGTTTTTCACATGTCTTATTTAATTTATATTGTATATAATATATAATTCAATCATAATATATGTGTGCAATTTGTTCCTAGAATTTCTAGTCGATAAAACTTCCAGTCTGCTCTATTCTCAAATTCCGTCTGTCTCTGTTATATATATATATATATATTTTTTTTTTTTCCATCTCTTTGTATACTTTTTCTTTTCTTTTTGACTGCATGAAGTGATCGGTAAAGTGATTGATGAAAGTATAAGAAAGTAAATTCGTGTAGATGACGGCAAGCGACGATCGACGAGAAAACCAATATGGAATTTGTTGATAAGACTGTGACATTCACGTTGAACAGATTATTTAACATAACCAAAGATCAATAAAGACATGCGTCTCTCTCGCTTTCTTTTTTTTTTTTCACGGAAGAAGAAAAGTAAGAGAGAAGAAGGGACGCGCGTGTTTCCACACACTACGGCAATCGATTGCACGAACACCGCCGGTCGTTGGTCCCTTCGTGATTATTTATGTTGACCGACCATACGGCAAATATGCGGACGGGACCTTGCGAGGTCACGTAAATACTCGACGGGAATATTTAAACACGGCCGCAACTTCTTCGTTGTTCCCATCATCGCTTTGAACGACGCTTTTCTTTCATCGAAACAAGAACACACTCTTTCGTTCTTTAACTGTTAATATTGCGAAAACTACCACGTGCGTTCGGAGAAAAGCGAGAAGAACTTTCAAGTTGGCGTCTCTAAAGCTAAATAAAATAGACATTGATACACGTGTGCTTTGTTTGATGAAAACATTTCTTCGCCGATCTGTAAGTTTTAGCGTTTCTCGTTCGTCTTGTTAAAAGCTTCTCTTTGTTTTTATATTTCATACTTTCTGTTTTCCTTTATTACGGCACAAAAACGCGCAACAGAAAGATCTTTTGAAATAATATCTTGTGCACGGATTACGTAATATAAAATAGCTCTTTACTACCGAAGACTTGTGTGTGTGTGTGTGTTTTTGTCATGTATTTGTCTCAAGCAAGGTATGTAGTTGTAATCATAAAGTAGTTCTTAACTACTACTCTAACTTATATTTTTGCTGTAACAAGCTGTGTTTTTCCTCAATTGTTTTTAGTTCTGAAAATTGCTTTATCATTGCTTTGTCTATTACTACACACATCGATAACATACACGTATAATTGATATATTATCTATTTCTTTTTAACAAACAAAAACTATTTGAAGTCAAAATGTAACACGAATGTATTTTGAACTATTCTAGTTCTCGCGAATTTCACTCGGACAGAAACTTAATTGTCAAACATTATTCTATACATATATAACAGTTATAACTAAATTAAACGGAGATGCTGAGAGCGAAATGCGAATGTGACACACTGTGACTTGACTAAACTGTTGACGAATAAAATAGGTCATAAGCGAATTATCAGCGTGTTTTAGAAATAATCTGTAAATGGCGTGCAAAGAAAATACCTATAAACCTACTTAAGATTGGGATTAACTGTAAGTAGCGTGTAAGAAATTATATGACCGTTTACCAATTATCATCAATTAATACGTGTAAAACACCAGTCGCTTTAGGCGTGGTGAAAAAATTTTTGCAAAACAAGTCTTTCGAAAAAATTCTCTGTGTATGTGTCAGTATCTAGTTATCTACGTAAACAAATGTTCTCTAAGCAGTAATAAAGTACAGTGACGCGACACACGATATCGAAGTTTAAGCTATCGAGAATCGTAATAACTCGCCGTGAGAGTCGTAACGATCAGAGCGATCTGCGCGAAACTACCCTCCGCGATCGTTACGGCTGTTTCGTGCAATCTGTGACTCCAAAAATAAAATTAAAAAATATAACGGTGCACAACACGCCACTTATTGCGAAGC